TTAAATAGCATTAATATCTAAAAAGTAAGCTTAGTAAATCCTATTATAACCTATAATAAAACTAACTAGAAAAATATTTAAAAGTTCTATTCATACAATGTCAGTGCTTATAAAACTATCTATTTTGAGAAAATAATTTCTACCTACCTTTTTTGCTTTGGGACCCTGAAAGTTGGAAAAACAAGAGGATTGATAAATTTTAAAAACTCAGATATTTTTAACAAAAGCACCAATATTATATAAAATGTGAAAAGTAAGAGTATCCGGGTAAAAACCATAGAAAACTCTCTGCATCATCTTTGCAACTTTCATGTAAATCTAAAATGATCTCAAAATAAAGTCTTTTAAAAAAGAATTTAGACAAAACTACAAGCAGGTCTAGAGAAAAAAAAAATAGTTCACCCACTGAAGCATCTTTTTAAAATTATACATTTTTTTAAATCCTACACTCTTTCTTATGACAGTCATTCAGTGATCCATGTGTAATGAAATGACCTACCGCTACGCAGAGCAGCAGTTAGGGAGATACTGGTCTAAAGGGTTCCAACGAACAGTAAGTGACTGACTGAATACAGGCAATGATGTCAAGTTTGAAAGTGTGGAAATGAGCTCATAAATAAATAATCGTTCTGTAAAATTAGACTGCTGATTTTATAGAAAAAAGAATCAGTTAATTTAAAGCAGGCAAAGCTATGATAAAAAGATTCTGTTCAGCAATGAATCTTAAAGCAGATCTATTCTTTGGAAATTAATTTGGAAAGCACAATATTGCAATAAGTATTTACCATTAGCTTTATCATTACATGTGTTTTTCAGTTAACACTACTTGTAATTTCTTGATTAGGCTCATGTGTCCATTAGATATCTGATAAGGAATCTGTAGGAGATCATGTGACTGTAAGATTATACACATTCCACCTCTGAAGACTTTCCCAGGAAAAATTACTGGTTCAAACTACAAGATTATAACTGTATTAAATATAAATGTTGAAAATGACATGAAGCAGATTTTATCTTCTTGAAAGTACATATATTTCATTAATTCATTCAGCAAATATTTATTAACGATTTGCACACAGGATGCTCTGGGACAATGGAGATGATATAAAGAGGAATAGTAGAGACTTCGCTCTCATATAATTTTTAGAGTTGGGTTCTATTTTTATTATCATATTTACTATCAATTAATAGTTAATACACTCCCATCTTGAAAAAAGTACTATAAAACAGAATATGTAAACAGTATTGTTCCTGTTCTCACGTAGTCGTATTTTAAGATAGGCAAATTATTATCTCACTAGTGCTTCTTATGTGAAGTAGGTTTGGGATTAGTATTTATCCTAACCCCTCCTGCAAAACATAAAAAGAGCATCATGTAGTACAGTACAGTTGACCCTTGTACGATGTGGGGGTTGGGGGGGGGTTCCTGACTCCTATGCAGGCAAAAATCCACATATAACTTTTGATTCCCCCCGAAAACTTAACTATTAATAGCCTATTGTTGACTAGATTTACTGATAACATAAACAGTTAATGCACATTTTTGTATATGTATTATATACTGTATTCTTGAAATAAAAAAACTTGAGAAAAGAAATACTAAGAAAAATAAGAAAAAGAATACATTAACAGTACTGTACTGTATTTATCCAAAAAACCTGCCTATAAGTGGATTCCTACAGTTCAAAGTGGACCAGTATTATTCAAGAGTCAACTGTAGTTCTCAAAGTTCAGAGGGCTTATTAAAAAATTGCATATTCCTGTGGCACTTCCCCCCTCCACCACAATTCAGTAGATATTAAGCATTGAACTGTATCCCCGTCCCATCCCCTAGTACCTCCAAATTTTACCTTATTTAAAACTAGAGTTGTTACTGATGTAATTACTTAAATTAAGATGATATAATAATGGAATAGAATTGACCTCTACTCCAATACAACTGGTGTCCTTATAAAAAGGAGAAATTTGGACACAGACATGCACACAGAAAGACCACCACATAAAGAAGGAGGGAATGTTGCCACAAGCCAAGGAACTACCAGAAGCTAGGAAAGAGGTCTGAACAGATCCCTCCCTAGCACCTGCAAAGGGAGTAGAGGCCTGGAAACACCCTCTTGATCTTCCATTTATCAGCCACTAGAATGGCGAAACAGTTAAGTTTCTACCGTTTAAGCCACTTAGTTTACTTTGTTACTTAGCAGCCCTAGGAAACTAATACCGTAGGTTTGTTTGGTGTCCAGGCTGTTCCTAGAATTTGCAACCTAACAAGCATTCCAGATGTAGTAGAAGCAAATGTTCAGGGACATTTTGATAAACATTGCTAGAAGCATGAAATTTATGTTCATGGAAGATAGAGGCTTATTGTTCCCTTAATTTATCAGCAGTTTTTAGGCTTAAAGTCCATTTACTTTCTATTCTTCCTGACATGAACATTCTCCATCAATTCCGGTAAACTCATAGTCATACTTTAAAATACAGTTTGAAAAGCCTTGCTCTTCCCTTTCTGTGCCCTTTCCCACCCCAATTTTATCATTTCCAACTTAATCTTACTCCACCGTAGACATTTCAACTGTTACAGTTAAAAATCTGTATTCGTATTAGTTTAGCCTGTCTCCCATAGCAAGGAGGGGGTGTAATAATCACTTAGATCCTCGACTTCTAGCCTAGTGTCAGACACAAAGAATGCACTCTGTATTTCCCCTTAATGAATTAAATAATTAAATACATTTTCTACTTCCTTTGGTTTTAACCACAAAAGAGGGAAGTCACATTTAAGAAAATGGGAACAGAGGGGTGCCTGGGTGGCTCATGGGTTAAGCCTCTGCCTTCAGCTCAGGTCATGATTCCAGGGTCCTGGGATCAAGCCCCGCATTGGGCTCTCTGCTCAGCAAGGAGCCTGCTTCTCCCTCTCTCTCTCTGCCTCTCTCCTACTTGTGATCTCTGTCAAATAAATAAAATCTTTTAAAAAAAATAAAAGAAAATGGAAACAGACATCATCTCATGGGGCAGGTTGGTCTGTGTTCCAGAAAAAGACAAAAGGGCTGAAGAGTGCATTAAGACAAAAGGGCTGAAAAGTGCATTAAAACAAAACAAGCAGCTTTATTATATTTAAAAAATTCAAGGCAAGCTGAGTAATTTGACTCATAAAACAATTCATATTTCCACAAAAGACCAAATAAAATGACTTTTCAAAGCAGAATAAATTACAACAGCTTTTATTTAACTACCGAGGAGGCACAAAAACACATTTTCGCCAAGCTGCCAATGAAAAAAGCCATTTAATGGAAAGGTCTATCGTTCTTGGAAATTACCAGGTTGAGGCCAATTCTTAAACCTATCAACTGTGCGCGATTAGGACACCATTTGACCGCACTGGCCATCCCCCATTTGCAGAAAGTGGTTTGTGACTCCCTTCTGTCCCTGAGATCCCGGACCGCAAGGCCACGGATCAGAAGGCCGATTTCCCACAGCGGTAAGGGTTTTTTCTTAAACCCACCCGCTCCCCTCTAAAATATGTCAGGCTCCTACACATCATTTTTACACGAGTGAAACGCTGCTGGCTCCTTCACCTGGGGCCCCCACTTGCCCTGCTCACCATTCTGCAGCCAGCACAGCCTCAGTGCTGCTGTGGTCCACCAAATCGGAGCTCAGAGTGTGTGGACGAACGCTCCCGGGTTGTCGGGACGACAAGCCCCGCCCACTTGCGCCTAACGTAGGAGCGCACAGCCTCGCTTTCGGGTCCGCGCAGTCGCGCTGGGGTTCTTCCGTGAGGCGCCCCGCCCCCTCCTCTGACTGGCTGCCTAGCACCAACACCCGCCCCGCGTCGCTGTTGACAGACCCCGGAGTCGAAGCGGTCGGAAGGCTTTACGGCTGCGGAATGCCGAAAAGTGCGTGAGTGCAGCCGCTGGGACGTTTTATTCTGTCTTCCAGATCCGGGGGTCTGGAGGTGATGAAGTACGGTCTGGGCAGGGACCACCGGGTGTGGCGTAGGGTTTCGGAACGTCTTCTGACGTTGACAGTCTGTCTTCCTCCCTAGGAGCGTGTTGGGGCGAATCTTTGTGTGAGGGGTGTGCAGAGGGAAGGGAGACGCCGGTTACGGGATTGGGTGATGTGACTGATACCAGGGTGGGCCGCCTGGGCCACCACAGCGTAGGCCCGCTTGGGGACGGGGCTCAATGGGCAATTTAGAGGAAGGGGCGGTTCCAAGAGGTTTAGTTATTTTGAAATTAATGACCTCTGGATTCTTCTCTCTGCGCGTGGTTCGGTTTACTTTCTGTGCAAGTTAGGTGTGTGCCGTTTTTCCTAAGAGCCGCTCTAAAGAAGGACTGGAAATTACTTGAAATGATTCCTGGATAAAGGATTTCCTGCAGCTGAAGGTCGCTGGGGCCCAGTAAGACTCATTAAGACCAAGGTCACAGGCTAATTGTGCCAGCCGGGTAGCGCAACCTTCAGAATTTGTCTCCTCCCCACGTGAAGAAACGCTGGCAATTTAAACCAGCAGAAAAACTAGAAGAAATTAAGCAATTAAGAAATTAAGCTCCTTCCACATTCTCAGTTCTGTGATTTAATGTTCCTGTTTTAGCTTGACAAAACATCAAATACTTCAAAATCATTGGCACCATTTCTAATCTCTGAATTCTAATTTTATACGGCTCTCTCCCAGCTGTACTGACTAAATGTATTAAATAGTAGTGAGTAAGGATTACAGAGCTAGTCTTGTGATAGAAATCCAGATTGTCAGTTATTACATTCCATCCCCAAATCCTGGGTAGCAAGAAAAAAAAAATCTTAATGTCGACTTCATACAGAGTTCTGAACCCATCTGGTATGGAAGTTTTTTGATTTAGTGTTTCACACTAATAATGTTTATGGTGTAAAACCTCAGCTCAGTTAGGATTGATGGGCATACAGTGGTGTTAATGGGAATCCCAAATTACCTTAAAACAGTAGGCCTCTAGGGGAGAAGACTTGAAGTTCTCACTCTATGACACCTCCCTCTTAGGAAGGAGAAGTGCTAGGGATGTGTGAGAACACACTAGACTGTGCTGTAAAAATACACAGTGAGTTTGGCTCTCCTCTAGTACTTCTCTTGCAAGCTGCCTAGGCGTAAGGATGATTTCCTGTTCTCTCTTTGCCTTCCGACGGGCATAGTATCCAAGCATTCTGAACATAGACATAGCCAGCGCCTTTCAACTCCCTTCTATAATCTGGCTCCTAGGTATGCCTCCATCAAGCCAAATGCCAGTCGGGGGGCAAAAGTCTTTTGCCACCTACCTCTCTGATGACCTATCCTTTGGAGCTGGTGTTGAGTTTTTTATGTGAAGCTTTTTAGGCTTAACTGGTTTGGGGAAACGTGTATCCCCTGTTTGAAGTCAAAATCTACCAGAAACCAATAAACCGTAACATTATACTGCCTTTCTTTGCCCATTTTCCTTCAGCTTTTATTGCCATCTGAACTTCATGAGGAAGACTTGAGTAACAGCAGCTTTGGTCACCAGTAAAATGACAATTCTTAGTTAACCCAGGACTGGAGTTGGTTAAGTCTAAACTCCTCAGCCCATAGTCTTTGGAAAAAAAGCTGTCAGTGGGGATTTTACCTCCTTCCCCTTGCCCACCACACACATTTTCAGAATGATAGAGGGCTCCTCTCAGTCCCTAATAGCTTGGCTCTGTACAAAGAGCAGTAACCCCCATGACTTCATGTAGGATTAAGGAGAAGCCCCAGATCCCTGCTACACTTTTTTTTTTTTTTTTTAAGATTTTATTTATTTGACAGAGATCACAAGTAGGCAAAGAGGCAGGCGGGGGCAGGGGGAGCAGGCCTCCCGCTGAGCAGAGAGCCCGATGTGAGGCTCTGTCCCAGGACCCTAAGATCATGACCTGAGCCAAAGGCAGAGGCTTAACCCACTGAGCCACCCAGGCAGCCCTCCCTGCTGCACTTTTAACTTCACCAGGTGAGTCCAAGGAGACCTTTTTCTCCCAAGGGCTAATAAACTTAAATGCGTGGGGGGCGTCCGGGTGGATAGTCATTAAGCATCTACCTTCTGCTCAGGTCATGATCCCAGGGTCCTGGGATGGAGCCCTGCATTGGGCTCCCTGTTCGGTGGGAAGCCTGCTTCTCCCTCTCCCACTCCCTCTGCTTGTGTTCCCTCTCTCTCTCTATCTCTCTGTCAAATAAATAAATAAAAAAAAAATAAATAAAAACCTTAAATGCCTGAAGGTCAACGTAAAATAAACTGTCTTAATTTCTATACATTAACATATCAAAGATCAGGACAATTTTACCCTAGTCAAACCAGCTACATTTTTTGCTGGGCAAATCCTTTATTATGTATGGTTTGTAAAAACAAGCAATAGCTTAAAAGGACAATTTAAGCTTTTACATATTATAAATTTTGAGTTAAAGCTGTGTTCTTTGCCATAAGATTAAACAGGCTATAATTTGCAATTTGAAAGTATGTCTGCATAGATTTAGAATCATTTTTAAAGCATGTGATTCTTGGGGCGCCTGGGTGGCTCAGTGGGTTAAGCCGCTGCCTTCGGCTCAGGTCATGATCTCAGGGTCCTGGGATCGAGTCC